TAGTGAAAAAAAACTTTGTTTTATTTTGAAACTTTTTAAAGGTATAAAGTCTGCTCTAGCATTGACTTTGCTTGCAAAAAAAAAAACTAAGGTGAAAGGAAACTTTTCTAAATACTTGCTGCTATGAGAAGGTTGTGAAGCCATTGTTGGACGGTTAGCAGCCAGGACCTCCAGTTTCTGAAATTCATTTGAAAGGGTAAAACGTTCGATGAAGTTTTGTTATCCTGGTTGGAGAGGTGTTTGCTTATAGTGTTTGTCTGGCCTACAGGGTACAAAAATTAGTTTATGCTTTAATCGAACACGAATTAAATCGAATTTAGGTAAATATTTTCGACCCTATTAAGCGGGCATTTCAGGGTACTCTTTTATATATATACAAGGAAAATTTGAAAGTTAGGGGGGGGGCTCGAGCACCACCCTGCCCCTACCTGGCTACGCCCATGTACGTAAGTTGGTAAATCACCGAATTTCTAGTCTTCTTAGAAGCAAAGAGTCTTTCCTTTGAACTTCGGACTAAAACCATTCTATATATATATAATTGTTTATACATTAGAAGTATAGTTAAGCCATAAAAGGGGTGTAAAGAGAACATGATTGCCTATTTATATATAAGACATATACATATATACATATGTCTAATCTCTAATCTCTAATCTCTAATCTGTATTTAAATTCAAGTGAGCCGAATGGAAGAAAGTGCAAAAGGCCTCAGCAAAAAAAATATATATAAAAAAATCAACTATAATTTTTAGTGCACATTATTATACTAAAATTAAATTGCCTTCGAACAATTCCGACTAAAAAGTTGAAAATTTTTATGAAATTTGTTTTTTTTTTTAATCTGTTAAATTTGTGTGAGTTTTGCCCCAATTTTACTTATATGGCAGCCAATAGCCCGAGCAGCTAGCGCTGTAACTAACTATTAAATTTTATAATTTATTATAAATTTAATACAACAAATAAATAAATAAATACTTATATGGTGTATGTCATACAATAAGATATATTTTCATAAGATATTTGTGAAAATATATGACATTTAAATTTTGCATTTTGAATTTTTTTAAATGTAATTATATCAGTGCGGGGAGTTTCTCCGAAAATCGGCGAATTCTGCGGTGGTCTGCTGTCAAACCACAATTTTACTCTCACAAGTGGGAGTAAAAGGAGAACAGATGCAGAAGTGTACGGCAACGCTAAAAGCACTTGTTCAAATAAAAACGTCAGTCGGTTTGTTTACATGACATTGATACAACACTGATTTGGCTGAAATATCACTAAAAAATTATTAAAATCCATACAATTAAGAATAATTGCGTAAATATTCAAATATTTTGTTGTTTTCTTCCATTTGTTTAACAAATAAATATACTTTGTTTACAAATGCAACCCTGCCTATCGTTTGACACTTTTCATGAATTTGCAGAAAGAAAAACTCCGGACTAAATCCAGTAACTTCTGACTAGGAAGCGTTGCTCAGTTATTCTCTCAGAAGTATTCCCACTTGCAGGGTTTTTGTCTATAGGAACGATTTCCTGTAAGTTATGACCCCGAAGCAAAGCGTCGAAATACCGAACGAATGCCAGTAGAGATACCAAACCCGAAAAAAAAATAAATTTTTAGAAGATAAAAATGAATGAATGAATGCTTATATTTTTCTACGAATCCACAAAGAGCTCCTACCACCGTACCAAACGCTTAATGAAAAATTGTCGGGCAGGTTATGCAATTCACTTCCGAGTGAATCAGCCAATTTGAAATGAAAGTGAGTTCGTTTGAAATTCACTAGGAAGTGAGTGCCTGTTTATCTTGACTTTTTGAAAAGTTTGTTGTATTGCATTCGTCGGTAAGAATATCCTAAAGAAAGAAGCTGACGATTGTTGCCGTTTCGTCGATCAGATCTATTACCTGAGTTTTACTCTATATATTGTAAAACATTAGTCACTATTGACACAATTTATTGAACACTTGAAGGATGCGTCGGTCAATGAGGTTGTTCACACTTGCTTGATTACGAGGTTATCTGGTTATGTGGTTATATTTTTTATTCAATGAAAGATATATATACAATATTGTAGAATCGGTATATTGGGAATTACTAAACGATTTATGGCTTATACTAAATATAGTGCCGGACATAATGATAACGTCACCCTCTATTTATTGATAAGTTTTGACTATTTTTTTTTTAAATAAAGTTTAGTTTTTTTTTGCGTTCGACATATAATAAAATCGATATATTTAGAACCAAAATTCAAACTTTGCACAAAAATAAGTAATTTCAAATAATTCAGAAGTAGCGTCGATTGCTTCATGATCCAATTATCGGAACTAAACCAAATGGGTATGAGCCCACCCTTGGGGTACCACCTTTCCGAAAACGGTTCACGTGATGCAAAGTTATACGGTAACATACATTAAAAAATGTTTCGATAACCTTCCTATTCTTTTTGGAAGTAGGTTAAAAAATCAAAAAAAATTTCACACTTTTATTTAGAATTTTAAGAAAATTGCAGGGCATGCAGTTTCATAGCTGATTGGCGGTGTTTTCGACATATGTATATGTAAAAAAATTTCCAAACTTTTTGTAAGAATAAAAGTTTGCAGATTTTTCAATTTCATTCATAATAGATCAGTTTACAACTCCATTATTTATCAGATACGCAACTAAGAGACTGCCAGTTGATTTTATGGGCTACTTTCACTTTATCTCAAAAGCATGATGAATGGGCCTCAATGTGACCTGCTGTTAATGACCACCAACAACTTTGACCTACTTACATATACATATGTATGTATGTATGTATAATGTACGAGTACTAAGCACATATATTTTGCTTCACCTGTGATAAGCCAAGTTCAAAGTGCAAAGACTTATCAGGTGATAAGAATTGCCCAATTAAAAGCAAGTGCTTCAGCGAATTTCAAGCATTGATAAGCGCCACCACGCTCAGTCGTGTTGTGGCTTTATCTTCGCTTCATGTTAGCGTAAAGTCTTAAATTCGTTTAGTTTGTAGTGTGAAGCGCTTCTGGGGCCTCTGACTACTTAAAACGTTGCTTATATGTAAACATGGCTCTTGAGCCAGACACCGATTACCACCACTGAAAAACTTGACCATATGCTGATTATGCTACTGGAGCCAAAAGTATGATGAACTGCTGAAGAAGCTGAGAATTGTTGTGCACCTAATCTTCGTCTTCTGCATATTTCTTTTTTTTGTTAACAGAAATAGCGAGCAATGCGTTGAATATCATTTGGCTGCACAGCCAGTGAGTATTTATGGATATTTATGATTGGAAATCACGTTTCATGCGTTCAGATTTGCCATTGCTTATAAAAGAAGTGCACCGAGTTTGTTTTAGTTATTAGTATCCAAAGAACTGAGCCCAGCTGAACCCGCCCATCTGCAATACAAACCAAAATGAAACTGTTCGTGGTAAGTTTTCATGCCATTGCCGTCTGAATACTGTCTGTCTGTTATTCACTTCCGATGTAGCTACTTGGGTCACATTTCCGAGTTTAATGTCGAAGCATTTTAATAAACTCTTTGTTTTTGTTTTACCTTACAGTGTATCTCATTGGCTCTAATCGCTGCCGTGACGGCTGGGCATTCATATGGATCAGCAAATCCTTCAACCTATGGTGCTGCTCCAGCCCTCAGTAGCTACGAAAGTGGATCTTCGGCTAGTGCCGTACAGCAAGTAAGCTTGGCTGGTCTTACGAATTTGGTGGACGTTGGCGCCATTGAGAGATTATTGAATGCGCCCGCACCTTCCCAACATGGCCGCAACTCTGCTTCGTATGCTGCTGCTAAATATGTGGTGGCACCATCAGCACCTAGCGCTGGTCCAGTAATCTCATCGTCTTACAGTGCTGCACCTGCCCCGGCTGCCGCTAGCCGTGGTGCTGCGCCATCTGCCTATGGCGCTGCACCAGCCACCTATGCCGCTGCACCAGCTCCAATTACCTATGCAAGTGCAGTGCCCTCGGTTAGCTACGGTCAACCTGCACCATTGCCCAGTTACGGAAGTGCAGCCGTATCGTCTGGTGGATATGCTGCTTCCGCTGCACCCAAATACGAAGTCCTCCCCGCTTACGTGTCGCAAATCAACGCCGGCAAGAACAACTACAAAACCTACCAGACTCCAATTCAATACAGCACTGTGACCCTCCCAGTTGCGCCAGCGGGTCCAGTTGCCAATTTGTACGTGCCCGAGAACGCCGGCTCCGGCTCCTCTGGATACAGCAGCTCTGGCAGCTCCTATGGTGGCGCCAGCTATTAAACGCATGCCAATTGCGAGAACATTTAGTTAAATAGTAGAGTTTATTGGAGGATTGGCCAGTAAATGAATTAAAAATTTTGCTTGAAAAAGTTTGTTGCACAAAAATAATAGAGAAATGTTTGGAGAACTTTTTGTTATACTTTTTTTTGGTGAATAAAAAAAATGTTGCCTTAATTGAATTGAAAGAGCTTTATTATGGTTTATTAGTTTTACAGAAAAAATATGTCGAGACTTGCAGTGCTAATAGTGAGCAGAGATAGCCAAAGATGAAAGCGTCGAAATAATGTCTTTGGCTATCCGAAATTAAACGTTCTAACCTTAGATGACCACGTGACTCTTTTGCAGTAAGGTTTTCAAAATGATTTTAAGTTCACTCAATGAAATGTTTTGATTTTCAGCTACGCGATTTAAAAGATGTGTAGTACCATATTTCAATGTGTTAAATCACCATTGAACGAGTTTATGGCGAAGACTACAGCCCAGTTTTTCGAAAAAATTTCAAGCATTATGCCGAATTTCCACTAGGCATTGAAATGACAAAAAATGCATGCCATATAAAAAAATGCCATGTGGAAATGAACTTAATGACTATGTTTTTAATGTAATGGCACGATTATTTTTTAATGCCCGACTTTGTCATTTGCCATTTTTGCCATTTAATGCCTAGTGGAAATCCAGCATTATAATCCCTGAAAAAAGCACATACATAACCTAATAAAATTCCATGAACTCTTAACTAAAAAGTGAAACTAAAATTACGGTATACAATTGGTCTTAATCTTTAGTTCACTAGAGTAAAAGTCCGCAATAAGCATTTCAAGTGCTCAGCGTCTTTCAGGCTTTCAGCCCACAATTCAACTTATAAAACTCTTTGTTGGGTAAAATGTTGACATGGGAGGACCTGGGTTCGATCCCTGGTCCGAGCAATATCTAAAATAGAAAAAGTGATTTCTATGACAAACGTCTGAGTGTATTTCTGCCTGAGAAAATATAAACCATAAAAGCCATCTGCCTTTCGACCCAAGTTTTCTTATTTTTAGATCGATTAATATTTAATCGTGCCGCCGAGGCTTTGAAAATTCCATACTGCTATAGATAAGTCAAATGCAAATATTTGTTATCCAATATGATTATTTCACTTCGAAGATCTTCAAAACACAAGACTTTGATGTATATGTGACTTCGAAACCTTACTAACCACTTTTTATAACCGATATACTTATCTCTTATATAACAAGTAATTTTCAGCAAAAAAAACCGACTTCAATTCTTATATAAAAATATATATATATATCTCACGATCCAATGATCGGATCTAAACCAGATTAGTATGGGACTACCTCTGAGACACTACCTTTCCAATGCAGAATTATCGAAATCGGTTAACGTGGTCCAAAGTTATACGGTAATATACATAAAAAAATATATATTCCGGCGAACTGATAACCTCCACCTTTTTTGGAAGTTGGTTAAAAAAATATGTCATTTTTGCGTTCGTAACCTCATCACGCACATTACGGAAAAATTATTAGTAAAATTTTAAAGCAAAATATGCATCATAATTTTATTTTTCTGAAGCGAAATATTTTTAAAAGATCAAAAACAATTTATTTTTAACGATTTTATAGCAATTTCTCAAAAAATGTATTTTCCCCAATGTAAAATATGTGGAAAACTTGAAGCCCGCCGACACGGTTAAAAATTAACCGATTTAAAATTAAAAAATACGGGTCTCTTCGTTTTCGATTTTCTTCAATCCGGGGGGCTGGCAGTGGTAAAATTCCAAAAAGTATATACATACAATATAGATTAGATGATTTGATCGATTTAATTAAGTTAAAAAATTTACAAAGTTACTAAAATAAAAGCTTCGCATTGAAAGGTTCTAAAATTGTATGAAACGTTTATTAATCAGGGAACTTGCTTTTCTTGTTCGTTTTATATGCATCCCATTTACGTAATACTGCGCGAAGGTATTTTAAATCTCCCGACATTGGTTTTAAATGAACATACATACATACATTATATTGAATTTGTACAATCTCATCGACGAGCGATTATTACTGCGTTATTCTATTAGACCTAATCTAAAGGAATATTAGGGACTAAGTGAAATAAAAACTTTGACTGAATTATTAGACTGTTAAATAAATTGACTAAGACCATTTGGAGAGTTACATAAATCTTTTATTTTTAATTGAAAATTCTTTTTTGAGTTAATAATTTTAGTTGAAATTAATAAAAAAAAAAACGCCACCGCACAGGTAATGTTTTTATGACAAATTATCATTATCATACATATTTCGCTCATATTTCGAGTATTGTTTTGCACTTCGATAACCATGTATCGGGAATATTTAGCCCCATTATGATTGTCGTCGCCAATGTCGCTGCTATTTTTCCATCAACGTCGACATCGACGTTCCAATCGGTGTTGTTTAACCGACGACAGTTTTTAAATACATTTAATTAAATAAATACATATCTTTGATGTTTGTATAAAAATTCATTGTGGTTTTGGTTTTTAAGCAGACCTGTTTTTTTATGAACATCGAACTTCAAGTTAGCCAACGTCAAAAACAATATAACTTAGCCGTTGCCGTAAAGCGGCAATAGCTATCGAAATTGACAACGGTGATGCCATTAGGAGTGGTCAATATTATTCGTGTCGAGAACGACAACCATAATAAGGGTGATTGTGAAAGTATTTACTTTTTTGCAAAAGTATTAAAAAGGAACATTTTATTGGTTTGTGTTAGGTTATGTTATGCTGGCTGACGATAAGAGGGTCTCACATAAATGAATATAACGTCCATAGCGTTGCCAGATGCGTTTACGACCCTCGATCTAAAAAATGTGGTGTGTGGAGAATTTTAACGTTAAATTTTCATAAATTTCACAACCGCATTTATTTTGTAAAACACTTAACAGAAAGCTTTGAAACCGCTTTGTTCTATTCGATTTTAAAATCACAGTGGAATTTCAATGAACCTCATCTCAAGTATTTTATAGATAAATTTAAATGCTAAAGTAATAAAAAAAACCGAAAGAGGCTGCTGAGGCACTCAAGGAGCAAGTTAGTATCGCTTCCTGATTCTACAAAGGAACGAACATATTAGATAGGGCCTTTCTATATGTAATATGTGACGTATACTTTTATTCCACCTCAACATCGTTCTGCATATACATAGATATGTATTGAACAATTCTGGGGTATAACCAGCAAATTCGTTTCAAAAAAATAACCTACAATGAAACAGAGCAGGAGGAAATTTTCGGCTCAAGCTAGTCTCAATTTTAGCGTCTGATCACTCGATATCCTGAAAAACGACTATTAGAGTAGAGGAAGACTTAAACTTCTAATATATGTAACTCCATAGAAAGCTAGAAGCATCTAAAAAATTTTCAAGTTTACTCTTCTGCTTGACTATCTGAGAGTAAAACTATACATAAAGATGCTAATGTTCCGAGAACTATTTAACTAGTTTCTTGAATTACAAAATTGATTTAACGAAATACATCGGCAGGGCCCTGCATTTACATAGCAAGAGAAATTAATAATTTCGGACACATTTTCACAAAATTTTTCTATAAATATTTGCACACACTCACTTACATAATTATAAGAAACATTCAAACATATTCTTCTGCCATTGTGTAGAAGAGTCAAACCCGCACCTGCCTTTCGCCATCCATTTTTTTATTCAAAACTACCAGTTATCAATGTTTAATTGTTAATTGCTACTTCTACGAGTACATAACTAAGTGCTGATGCACGTTGCTAACATTTATAACATCTATGTATGTATGTATGTATGTATGTATGTATGTATGTATGTATGTATGTATAACAAAGCCAAAACCGAAATGGCAGCAGCAGTTTTTCGAGCAATCAATATCGCTCCAACGCAGCTCGTCGAAGTTGAAAATTATCGCCGCACACAGCCCAACATTGCCTGAGAATGTTGACCATAAATTGCGCACTGCACCATTACCCACATCGGCCAGCCACTATTTCGGCTTTAATCTGTGGGGTCTTTAGTGCATTTGCCAGCCAGTGGTTGTCGCGGCCAACTTGCGGCTATGAATTCTAGATTTAGTCACGTAAAATGGCACACAACTGAGTTCGTTTCCAAGTACTTGCTATAAAAGCAAAATTAAAACAATGACGCCACATTAGTTTACCATTTGTCGCACCAAAACCACGCATTAGAATACTTTCAAACAAAAACGCAAAATCCATCAAACAAAAATGTTCCGCTTCACGGTTTGCTTCGTAGTCATGGCCGCATGTTTGTGCACGTCCGCGTGGGCTTCGGGCTACGGCGCTCCAGCGCCATTATATGGTGCTGGTGCTGGTGGTAGTGGCAGTGGCACTTCAGGTGCCCAAGTCATTTCACTACCCGCGAATGTGGAAGCTCAGGCTGCTGCACTGACGAATGCCGCTGGCGCCAAGGCAACCGCTGCCAAAATCAACGCTCTCAAATGGGATCTGCTCAACTTGTACGGCTATGAAATTGGCTACCCATTGTTGGTTAAGAAATACGGACCTCTGTCCTCGTTGTATTCGGCTTCGCTGCCCCCACGCAGTTTTGTTGGAAAAATCGACCCTGGTAAGTAACTCGGCGGATCAAGAAGCCTTCTGGCTAAAGAAGGGATCACATGATTTGTACAAATATCTAGACAACAACACACTGTGACTGACAAAATGTACAAATGTACAAATCGTGTAATCCCTGCTTAAGGTTTCCTATTCCGTTCGATATTCAATTATAATAAATTTAGTATTATTCTTGTGTTAATTGTAAAAATTTTCTGGTTTCTTACAGCTTTCTTGAAAGATTCCTATGGCAAAATCAAGTATGTTGGCGAAAGTACGGTCGGTGTTGCGGCGATCTAAAATGGCATAAGCCGCAATTTTAGTTGTACATATTTCAATGGAAGCCTTAACTCTACGAGTACCTTGAAAATAAAATTAATTTTTTAAGTTGAAAAATTCGACTGTATTTCATTTAATTTGCTAGTTGCTTAAACAAGTTCGAAATTATAGTTGAGAAAGTATGGCACATTGCAAATTCCAAAGGTTTAGTTACGAACATGCCATAGATACTTATTACGTGAAATGATTGCGATTGCATTCAGCAAAATGGAATACAACCTTTAAAAAGCAATGTTCTCCAATCGGCAGACTGTTTTACTCTTCAGAAGATTTCGAAGAATAATAGACAATTGCTTATATAATAACTTTTTAATATTAACCATTTTTAAACGTCCCCTATTGCAATCTTTGGAGTTGTTGGGGACCAATGAAAAATAGTTAATATTAAAGAATCATTAAATAAACAATTGGGTATCATTCCTAGAAGTCTCCTGAAGGGATGCTTTTTGGACCACCCTAATGTACATAGCGAGACGAGCAGTAACAAATCAGTTACTCAAATAGTTTATTTGTTGAGCAATAAGTTTTTGATTCTAACGTCCTTTCACCGCAAATGGACCCGGGTTGGTTGGTTTATAGTAGCGTCGCCTAAGTAATGTAGAGCTAGATAGCGTGATAGCTGAAGCCCTTGATGTTAGCCAAACTATTGTTATGAACTGATGTCGTGTTAAAACCATTTGGATTTGCCGACGAATCTTACCTGATTAGTGCTGGATAGAGGTCGTAGAGGATCGATCGTTTCCCTGTTACCCTCGAGATCGAAACTGAAGGATCTTTAAGCTCGTAAGGACAATGTTCGGTTCATAGCAATTCGGCAACTATTCGTTTGCATTGCAGAATAGTGAGATGTCTACCGACGTGGTTGTTTAGTTCAAGGATGTCTCTCAGTCCCTCATTGTTTTGGAGTTTATCATCGGTGAGGCCTGCGACAAGAATGTGGCTCAAATGGAGCCAAGCTGACAACTTTGTTTTAACCGATTTTTACCATTTTTTGAATCTTTAGGTTCAGTAAAGTTCTATGAGAAGATCTCTCAACATATTTGAGTTGGCATTGACGCCGAAATGACTACCAAAATAAGACCTTTTTCTCATTGATTGGCGCTGTAACCGCTTAAGCGATATTGGTCGAGTTCAACATAGCACGCCAGCCGTTTCACTTCTTTGCGAAGCAACAGCAAGTCCATCTCCACCTGATCTTTCTAACTCAGAGAAGGCTTTACTTCCTCTTCCTCTGGCCTATTTGTACATAATTACATATACCAGTGTCTGCATTATCCACTCTTTCTGGCTTTGTTGCTTATATCGGATATTGTTGATATAGATTTAGAAATAGTTCTTCTTAGCTTAACTTGAATGAATACCATCGTCTGCTGAGCGCTTTCATAGATACGGCTGTTAAAATGTCTGTGGAACAGCGTTTGTTTTCGACAGCGAAGTGACTCAATGACTTCAACTCACTTTTAGGAGTCAGTTCATTGAACTCATTTGAATGTTACACTCCTTTATCTCATAGACTATTATTGTATGTAAATTGTGAGCGTTATGGCGCAGTGAAATGAAATCTTTTTCATACTTACCAGAAATGAGCGATACCAAAGGGATGAGACACGGGGCATCAACTGAGTTAATGAGTTCCAGTTCACCGGTGGGATGCCATTCAATAACTCAACTCTGAGGTGAGTTACCCACCTGTATGACAGAAATGCTCTTTGTCGCCTTCGGATTCCCACTGAAAAAGTTCGTTTCAAACCAAGTTAAAGGCTACATAGCTGTTAGTTTAAATGTTTAGTTGCTAAATGATGATCTACATAGAAGCCTCGATTCGATTAGCAGGAAATGAATAGGCCAAATTTAAACTTTCTTTATTTAATTTATTTAATTTATGCATTCATTTTATTCATTTCATTAAATTATATAAGTAAGTGGTTCATATGTATGTGTATGTATGTATGTAATGTACTGTATTACTAATGCATTTCAATATAAATACAATATCATTATTAGTAAATAAGTATTATAAAATCATGAACGAAATGAAATTACTTGCATTTTTTGCGCTAAGCATGAGTCTATTGCATAATAAGTTTTTATATATTTTTTCAATAATATCGATGTTTTTCTTTAAAAAAAGTAAATTCATTAGTAGATACTTCTATGTGGTGATACTTTGCATTATGTATTTATGTAAGCATGTGTTTGAGTAAGGGAGGTGCCTATGAAAATTCAATGGCGCATTAAAAACGAGATGAAAGCTCAATGTATTGAATGCGAAAGTTCGTAAAACGTCGAAAGTTTAGAAAGTTTTAAGCGAATTAATTACAAATGAATTTCGGTCGGGATAAACGCTCAGCTTCTGCTAAAACTGCAACCACACAAAATCCGATAAGTGAATTTCAACGAAATTTGCAAAATTTTGGTTTTCTTAAATTTCGTTCGTTTTTTATTTTTCAAATACATTTTACAATGTTTGTCGTTATTCTGAGAAATAACCGCTATGTTCGTTAGTTGTAGTTGTAGACTTCAGGTTATGTTTCATAGAAAACTCGGTTACCTACAAATTTCGAAAGATCGCTGATGCAAAAACTGGTTTCTAGAATTGTTCAAAAAAACTCTCGCATTTTGCGGATTTGCGTGCGCGCGCTCTCTCTCTCTCTCGTATTAATGGGATAGCTTACATTTATTTTAGAAAAATGTCAATTATATTCTATATATCTTTAATGTTTTTTTTTTTTTGGGTTTTAATATTCTTTTAACAAAAAAGTTGACTGGTAACAAAAATTAATTGTAAATTAAATAGGACATAGTTTAGTTTAGATGGTTTATTTGTTGTTCATTTGTTTAATTTAAAAATACATAAACGGCTGCGTTGTGGGAGTTTCTGCGAACTTCGCTCATTAGAAAGCTCGCGCTTGAAAACCGAAGCAGTTGTCGTGGTTGTTGTTGGTCTCATTGTTTTTTTTTTTTTTTTTGTATTTTTTCTCCCTTTCATTCCAATGCAGTTGTTTGCTATATAGTTGTTGTTGTTGTTGTTGTTGTTGCCGGGATTTCCGTTACTTCATAAACTTTAAATTACAATAAAAATGTGTTCAGTTGTTTTTGCAACTGTTGTGAATTATTTATTCGGTGATCGTTCTTGTTGTCTCCTGAATGTAAACCTGGGAGCCGGGAATTGTGGAGGTGGTGACGAATGTGCGGTGCTTGGCGCGGATCATGTTCAAGTTGGTCTCGGCACATTCGGCACGATCTTCGGCAGCTTCAAGTTCACGCTGGAAACGGCGGACGCGGGTCACGGACTGTTGAGACATACCCTCCTGTAGAGGATAGACGAGACAAGTGAGCAAGTTATTAAGGGTCTTCAACTATCTGCAGTTGAGAGTACAAAAAACAGGTAGTGTTGGAAATGGAGATTTTTGGATATTAGAAGAGAATAAAGCTTTACGAAGAAGATAATAGGGCGTACCATCAAATCTAAGGCTACAGCGTAAAAAGTTTAAACTAACATATTTTTTTTTTTGGTTTTAATAAGAAACACCAGTTATATATAAACGCGCTACGAGATACAAAACAAAGAAGCTGGAGCTCTCGTTCGGCTCGGGTCCAGTGGAATTTTAGAGTAGTGAAAAAGGCCAGCCGAACTTTTGGGCGTGGTTACTTAGCTCCTAACGCAATATTTGAAAAGGAGACTTCTAAGGAAGCATAATAAATATGACATGTTTCCCGTTGGGGATAGCGTACCTTTCAACTATGTATTTATGAAGCAGAATGTAGACTCCACGCCTCAACGCCTCCAAATATACAAAAATATGCAAAAATAAAGCAAGTATAGAAAAACGCAAGCATAAACGTTTATTTTATTAAGCTTTCTTACTTCATAACTCCTCATATCCATTCCAACAATACCCTATTTGCATAATCTTTATTTAACCACAACAGTGTAGGAGCACGTTACCTGTTCGGACAGCTGGCGCTTGAACAAGTTAACCTTGGCGGTAGACTTGTCCAAAGCTTCCTGCAACAAGATGATGTTCTTCTGATCTTCCTCGCATTGTACCAATACTTCCTTGACAGTGCGCTCCTTCTTTCTCAAGATCTTGATGGTTTCGGCGTGTCTCCTCTTCTCTTCCTCCAACTCCAATTCCAAATCGCGGACGCGGGCTTCCAATTTGCTGATGATGCGCTTGCTGCCAGCAACAGCGTTAATCTCAACCTCTTCCAGACGGATGGCCAAGTTCTGCGTGTAGGATATTAGCATTAATAACATTCGGTCCAAACAATGGGTTTTTAATGCCAAATACTTACCTTGACTTCAACTTCCAGCGACTTCTTGATGGTTTCCAATTTGACAATGCGCTCCTGTTCTTCATGCACTTGCTCGATTGTGTGCTTGAGTTCAACCTGGAATTTTAGTGTAAATTTATAATTTATGTATTTTAATCCAATTAAATTCGAATGCATAGCAAATTTGACCAATCGTCTTACCTGAACCTTCTGGTAGCGTTCGTCGCTAATTCTCAATTCCTTGGTGACTTCCTCGTAATCAGCGGCGACAACCGACAATTCTTGTTCCAACTTCGACTTCAACGACACCAAGTTGACGTTAACGATGCTCAGTTCATTGATGCGGGTCTGCGCCTCCTCGTACTGCAATTCAACCGTGCGCTTAGCACGTGTAGCGCTGTCCAAATGCGAGCGGACTTCTTCCAGTTCACCGTTGAGTGCAGCCAAGCGGCGCTGAGCCACATTGTACTGATCCAAAGTGGCCTGCAACTGGCGTTGGATATCCTCGTAGTGGGCCTGCAATTCGGTCAATTGCAATGACTGCTTCTTGATAACCTTTTGCAAATCGATATTGGTCTTATTGGCCACATCCAAGGACATCTCCAGTTCGGTGATTTGCACCTGCAACTTCTTCTTGATGCGTTGAACTTCGGTCTTCAAGCGGGTCTCGGCTTCAACGACGCGAGCATTCAATTGTTCGATTTCGATGGCAGTTTGCTTGCTGTTTGAGAAGAAAGTAAATACAAGTTGTATTTTAGAAAAAGTGTTGCCGCAAGTCAGTCAAATATTTATTTTGAAAATAATACCGTCATTGTGATTTGGAGATTATTTCTTAGCATAAAAATTACCTCATTTTTATTTTTATCTGTTTTATATAGGGAAACGGAGGCCCGCTCAGTGGATTTGTGCTTTGTCATTTTGTCAAGACCACCTGCTTGCTTTATATGTATGTGAAGGTAGTGGTTATCAGTAGCAATGTGGTGAAAGCAGCTAGAAAATTTGGCAAGAAACTATATCTAACTATAAAATATATTTGGCGATCGCCCTTATATACAATATCCCCAGTACTATATGGGTAGATATGTAACTGGGAACAGTTTCCCCACAGACAGAGGTGTGGTAGTCGCCTCCTTCAAAAAAGAAAATAATATTGAATAACTGCCATAGTTATCCGCCAAATGCCTTTCGCGCGTTGGACATTTTCATATAAAATTTTCGCAACATAGCTGAAGTCTATAACGTTTACGCATAGTGGATGACAAAGTGGCTTGGTCAAAGTTCACATTCCCAATCAACTGCGAACACAAAGGTTTCCCACGTAGGCATCGAACTTGTCACAATTTCGCGAATTCCACCCATTGATAGGCTTTTACATGAATGCCATTGCAAGTGATTGCTCGTATGCATCATCAATCTAAATTTAGCCAGTTGTACAAAAGCTTCACAGTTTCGTTAAAAAAAAAAGAGGAATATTATGTAATTCTATTGTAATGTTTCTTTATTTAGGGTTTGATGTCGATTTGATATTATTATCGGATTTGTTTGCTCAGTGTGACTCAGCGAGTAGGAATGGCTGATGTTGGCGAATTTGGCAGCGTTGTACAGGTGATTGCGCCACGGTATGTAGATATTTGGGTCGACATAGTGTCGAGTCGACGATGATGATGACTACATAGTTTGTAGTATACAAAGTGAGTACTAATTTGGGATTTTATAAATGGGGAATGATGTGTTCGCATTGCGGGCCGTAAAATGGAACGACTAAAGGACATTGTGATACCCCAGATAAGATCTGTCATTTAATGAGTTTTAATGAGTAAGAACATATGTGACTAATCTCGATGAAAGAGTATTTCGGATTAAGTCTCTATGGGGTACAATTGGGGGCATTAATTATTCGCAACTAATTTCGTGGGTTTACTATTGGAGATCAATTACTTAGTCTCGACTCATTGCTTATGGCCACAATTAGAGTTTAATTAGTCCCCGACTCATCTCTAACGGGTACAATGAACGACATGAATGATATTCGATGAGTCACAGTGAAAATAGCCCAGCGAATTTGTCTACAATATTTACAATATTTTTCATCATAGATATTTTTTGTTGATTTTTAATAAAACTATATATGGATCTACGACTAAAGCCACATAAATAAAAGTTTAAAATTTCGTACAGAATTTCCCAACAATTTTCAAAATTTTAAAAACTCGTCTTCGAAATTTCAAACTTTAGGCCGTTTTGTAGTCCATAGAATTAAACAATTTCTTTCATATAGAAATAGGTTTCGTTGAACCGTTGGCTCAATTAGATAGTTGTTGCCTGAGGTTTTCATCATTCTCTTTTTATTTTATTTGCATTTATTGCAGAATAATGCAATATTTATGTATGTAAGCATATAGACACATCATTCCGAAATTTAAATTTCATTAGGTTTTGTAATTTTTTATTATTATTCAATCTCCCCGACCATTGTGTTTGCCAGACGACTTCATTATTTGGCTTAGTGAGCGACTACGCTAAAATTATTATTTTTTTTTTTTTTGATTTTTGTAATTTTTTAAAATTTTTTTTTTTGGTGCGCCTAAGTGCGTTTACTTATATCGTGCACTATACATTTAAACATACATAAGTATGTAGATATTTACGTATGTTTGCTTGTGGGTTGGAAGCTGTCATGAGGCATCTGCAAACGTTTAAAATGGGAAAAGTGTAGGTGAATTAGAAAAAAATAATAAAATAGCTTGTACTGCTGCTCTGCAGCGAAGGCCGCACAAGTAATTTGGCAAAATAAGTGGTTTTGCAAATGTGGCAAATACCTAAATAAATATTTCTTAAAGTGATATTTCAAAAAAAAAAAAATCTAGTTCTGGGTTGGGTTTTGAAAGTTTTTGAGAGACAGGAAATTAATTTGCACACATAAATATGCCTATAATCCACAAAGTGGTCTAACTAAGTAAAATCATGCGTTTTTTGTTTAAATAATAATTCATTTGTATTCGTTCAACTTCATCAACCAAAGGTAAGATGTTTTGTCATTGATTTATGATGCAATGCATTCAGTTATAAGTAGCTGGCCATTTAAGCGGAAGAGGTAGGGAATTACTTAGGGCCGGTTTTTCAAATATCTGGTTAACACAAATCGGAGATAGAAGCTCCGGTTAAATAGAACGACTGCTTTATTGATGTTTAACTGAGAGGTAGTGATAATCAGACATTGAACAACCGGCCCTTAGACCACTTTCTAACTTTGGAAATTTTTCCTTTTTGGTTGTTGTTGTTTCCGACAGGGTGGGTGTATGATGTATTATGGATCGAATTTCCGTCATCCCTTGTCAAATTTGGTTTGGAGACAAACCGGTTTCGCAGAACGAAAAATGACACTGAAGATGGCACAACGCCGAAACCGGTTTGTCTCTAAACCAAATTTTTGCAAGGGATGACGGAAATTCGTTCCATAATACAACTTTGGAAATGTTTCAAAAGGAGCTAATCAATCACGTTTTTTAATAGCTTTGAATTTTGGTATGTGGATAAATACATAAATGTGATTTTGGGGCCGATTTCTCAAGTAGGTTTTAAATTTATATATCTCCCATTAAACAATTTTTTTTTATTAAAACCTACTTCAGAAAGCGATCCTTAGGCTGTTTTTATAGTCTACTATAAACAGCTTACTGAGTTTCTTTACTCAAGTGACGAATGAATGTGAACTCTTCACTGTGAAAACAGGCCTTATGCTGGATTTCCACTGGGCATTAAATTACAAATACCAATTTTGGTTGCTAATAATAGTCATCAAGTTGTTTTCATTGTCATTTCAATACCAATTGCTAATTCGGCGTTCTAGTTTTTTGTTGTACTGACGAAGTATTAATACTTAATGGTTTTTCTACAGAGATTTACATGTTCTTAAATAGGAGTTCTATGGTTTTGGTATTCGGTTTGTCAGTCACAGAAATTTTTTCTGGACTCAAACTACGAAATATTGAAATTGTCAAACAGTTGCAAGCGATTCACTGACGGAGAACTTAATTTCGAATGGCATTCTATAGCTTATTTCATCTTGAACTTTGAACTGTTACATGGAAGCTGGTGAAGTTGACATTTAGAAAAATGCGATTAAGTAATGAGTGTTATTACATACGCGAATGTTTTTTATTAAATATCTTTTAGGGCCGTTTTCTCAAGTAGACATAGCTATTAAATTTAAAAGTTGCTTGAGAAAACGGGCCTTAGTCTTCAGAACTTTTTTGGCTAACATATTTGGAGTTTAACTAAACATTTTTACATCATTTTATTATTTCAAGATTTCTAAAGAGCGGGCAAAAGAAAAATCAGCTTCTTACGCTGCAGCAGTTTTTCTTTTCTCTTAATAAGTCGGAAACCCATTTTGTAAGAGTTCCGAAGTTATTGCATTCAATATACATTTATATCTGCTATATACGTACTATAGCATGCATCCTTTGCCAAATTATATCTACATAAAAACATACATACAATATGAACATAAAAATAAGCCCACATTCGAATCATTTATCTATGTACATTTACAATGCGAAGAGACCCCTTAGTTTGCCTCATTCCCTCAAGTAGTACCAACGTTTGTATGAGCGATTGCCACGCTCGAGTCTTCAGTACATTTACTTAGCTTGCGAGATCCCTGACCGCCTTCTTTCCCTTCTTCACCGCCCTCTAGCTTGTCTAGCAGAAGAGCCCATTTCCTCATACATACATCAAATAAATCAGACATCTCAACGCTAGTTTCGCAAAAATTCTAGCGTTTATGAGCTACAGAACGCTTGTAAAAACCATTCGCATGAAATTATTTTTTTCTCGCAATTTTTTTTTTTTTTGCTGTTTTTCTGTTGCAAAGCGAAATTCACATTCGGCTGATGCCAAAAATAATGCCAATGCAAACTCAGCAAACATTTTTTGCAATGAACGTTTCGCATTGTCAAAAAGTCGAAAAAGAAGCAAAAATATGTATGTATGTATGTACGTGAATAAATTTTGTTGCCTAAGCACAAAAGTGTGTTTTTTCATTTTGCGCATTTTGGGCGAATAAATGAGTTAAATAGGCGAAAAAAAAATCTTAAGCGTTGAGGGAAAAAATATTGCGAAAATAAATACACACAACAGCATTGAATTGAAAATTGAATTAGTTTAATTGAAAAACAGCAAGAAATCGTGTTTGTAAATATTTTAATGTATTTCTATGTGTGTATGTGTGTGTGTGTGTGTGTCTTGTGTACGGCTGCGTCCCAAAAGGTATTTCATGCATTTGAATGTTAAATAACTCGAAGGTATGCGCGCATATCGCACGAGGATGGATCGGCCGGTTGCGGGTGCAAATGTGACATGCAAATGTTATGTTGTGTACCACCTCGATATGTTTAAATTATGAGAATTTATGTATTTTGCAAATTGATGTACTAAAAATTGCATGAGTACAGAATGCTTGGGCAATGAGTTAGAAGAAAGCCAATGGAATAAGAATCTAAACAGGTGCCAACACAGCTAGGAAAGGCCGCACCTACTAACCAAACTCTACCGCGCTCTATGTCTTAGGTCAATCTCAGCCAAAACAAGCGCGACTCGCTTTCAACACTTTTTCTTGACTGCTAAGCCGACTAATTTTACCACCTTAACAAATATCGAACTGTTTTTTTTTTTTTTAATTTTGTCCACCACCACCCTTTGTTCGTCTCGAACATTTGTCCGACGTCTGTATGTCCGACTATCCCATTACTGCCAATATACGTAACTATAGTCCTTTAATTTGGGATGCGTGCGCATCACCTTACGACATATCCAACACTTATCATCTATGCCGCACCTGGAATCTGCGTAAAATTCCACTGTCTTCTGGTTGAGCGTCGACAGCTGACGCTTGACATTGTACAACGACGAGGAGACACGGTGGTCCAACTTATCGACGAGGCGCTCATCCATCAATTCCAAATGATAGCCATGCGAAGAGATGCGACCCTCCGGCGAACCGGATCGTGCGCGGCTTGCAGCACGGCTAGACCTTATTAGGGTTTGGGCTAGGAAGTCCTCCTCTTCGCGCTTGGCGCTCTTGATGTTGCGCTCCGATTCGGAGATGAGCGCCTGAGCGATGGCAGTGGCGGATTTGCCGCGAATCGAACGCTTGAATTCGTCCGTCATGCGGCTAACATCATTGTCCAACTCCATTCTGCGTATGCGTTGCAGTATTCGTATAGTGTCTTGACGTATTAGGTCCTCTAAATCCTGCTGACGGCGGCGACGACGTTCACGTGAGCGATCTACTACCGAATCCGGTTCAATATGCTTGTGAACACGCGCTGCGTCGGCGAGTTTTATCACACTGAATGGCGTTCGCTTCTTAACGCGAAAGTCAAGCAAAATCTCATCTGCACGATGGGCACAGGCACGCGACAGGCGCAACACCTCGTCGGGATCGTAGCGGCGTACGGGATTCGAGGGGCGGTACTGTCGCAGACCGCGTTCGCTCGACCACGGTAAGTGCGGCGGATCGACATTCAGTTTCTTTGTCTTCGCATCCAAGTAGTCGAGCATGGGCTGGTAGAAGTTCATTGTGTAGCCATAGTTGTCCTCATAGGTGTGCGCCGGATGACGAGTGCGCGAGGGACGCAATCTGTATGTGAGCGCCATAGTTTTGGCAGAGATTAACGGCTAAGATTGTTGGTATAAATTGGAGTGGGGTAGCGGGGGATTGAATGTTTGTGGCAAGAGAGGCAATAAATTGTCGATTTGTAGCGAAAAGGAAGGGCTCGCAAGGCGATGTTTGTGCACTGGTGGGACACAGCGCTTTCAAGTGTGTTTGTGGTGTGAGTGTCTTTGGTTTGTTGGGGATCGATGATTCTTTTGTTTTGGCAGTGCGTCACAGTGCGACTTATGCCGAGTTATCTGCGTGTGAGTGAGTACAATTAGAGAATACAATTGCTTTGTACTTGAGATACAATTATTTAGTTTAAATTATTTCAGAAACATAAAAGGGACAGTGCAGCCCGAAGTCATCATTGCCGCGTTGTTGCAGCGAAGAAAGCAAATTTCGATCGAGAGTAACTAGCTGGCTGGCTGGCTGACGTTGATTTTCGCTGGCGTTATTTCGTTATATTTTGCTGTAGTCTGTTGCTTTAGCGTTTTCTGGCGTCATGCACATTCGCGATTTTCGAGTTTTGCTGAGTTTGGCTACTCTGCACAGTTGGCTGCACAGCTTGCTGTTGCGCTGGCCAAGGAAATAGTCGAATATTTGACGATATCTAAAAAAAGATTGAATGAATTTAAGTAATGCTTTCGTTGCCTTGGCCACAGCAAAA